GGAAACGAAAGAATCAAGAAAAGCCTTCAAGCCCTGAAGTGTGCCAACCTCCAAATAGAAGCTGAAAGCAAGAGCCGACAATTTACTTTCTATCGCCGTCAAGCCCAAAGCCATCGCTTGGGGTGGCTGGGTGTGCACACGTATCTCAGCAAGCAGCTGCTGGCAAAGTTCAACTCGCCTCTCCCTCTCTTCTTCCTCCAAAACATCAACCTCGATGCTGCGGAGCTCAGCACATGCCTGGAATAGCTCCAGGCATGATTGCGAGGCAATTGCTTGGTGTTTGCAGATGATCCAATCCGCTTGAGCAATGGGAGAGCTGTCGGCCCAGCCATATCTTACAGTATTTGGACGCTCCTCAAAACCCTTCCTTCGCAACAGCATAAGGGCCACATCTACACTGAGCTGCGCACTGCGCAACAATGTCTTGCTCTGCTTGAGAATGCCCTTCCCTGTAGCGAGACCCGTCAGAGAGAAAAACTTGGGGAACATGGCTTCCAGAGCACTGGGGGCGACTTCCTTGAAGCCGACACTGTCACGCAAGTGCCAAGCAAACAGCACCATGCCGACGAGCTGTCTATCAGAATAACGCTGCAAGCCGTGGTGTGCATCTCTCTCACCAAGGTGCGTCCGAAGGTCTGCTGCATTTTCTGCAAAGTGTGGAGCAAAGTATGTCAGCAGTTGCCTCAGCCATGTTGCAAACGATTCAAGCAACAACTGCTCACCGGCAGCTGCATCCTCGGTTTCACACTGGGCAAGAATGGCAGGACTCCAGCGCCGAATGTGGTCCAGCATCTGTTGCAGATGTTGGAGCTCTAAAGGTTCCAAACCCTGCAAAGTCTCATGTTCCCCTGCAACCGCCCAGAGTGCATCCGGCAACCTGAAGCCTGCCTGTTCTGCCCAAGAGCCCCTTCTAGCAAAAGGACCCTTAAACCATCTGCTCATGAACAGCAGATCCTGCCACTTGCCACGAAGCAATAACTTGCACACCGGCTCTGGGACTAGGTGAGCTCCCAATTTCCCGAGCCCCTCTCTGGAGATGCCCCAACGTTGCATTATTTCCTGCAGCTCGCACCGACGCTGCCCTTGATGAAAAGGATCCCTGATCTTCATTTCTATCCCTGTAACGGATCTCATTCTTTCAACATTTACACCACACGGAAAAAAGATACCATCCGAACCATTGATGACGGATTCGCGAGCACGCCCATCGATCTTGGTATACACTGGCACATCCTCGTCGAAGCAGAAAACCGAGGAAGCACGGATGATAAAACTGTCCACTGGGCAGTGATAGTAGTCGTGCAACACCATACTTTCTTTCGACCATGATGTCAGAGACCCACTCCAGACTTGCAACTGCTGAAAATCCATTTCTATAAGACCACGGATGGTAAACTTCTGGGCTAGCTCAGGCTTCGGGTCATGCCACGAAACTTCAACACCCTCATGCTGCAAGACCCGCTGCAGCCAGTCATCTGTTGGCAGTTTCAACCTGCATCTCTGCCCATGCAGAGTCACGCGATGAGCTGGATGTGCAACGCCGCACAACCAGAGGAAAACCATGCCAAGCATGCTGAAAGTGCGACCGGATAACGAAGGTATGCTGCGAAGCCCTAGAATGTGCCACTCAGTGAGTCATCGAACAGCCGTAATACACTGACGTGAAAGATCACTACGTGTTGGGAAGCATTGCGAAACTATGTCTGCGTAGAAGCTGCAAGCTTGTTTGAGATGTCGCCACAGCAGCCGGGACATGCCCTTTTACCCCCACGGCCATCGTCAGCTGGCAGTGGCTCAACTTGAAGCACAAAGAACCACAGAGATTTTACTGACAAAACATCATCAGGATCCCTTGTGGCGCACAAGTGTTACACGAGCTCACCTCCGACTCGACGAAACCAACTAGTCGCACTACAAAAAAAGATGTGTACCTTGTGGGGGATCCAAATCTAGAATTTATGGTTTAGGGCTTAGGGCTTATCGGGCTTAAGGCTTTTTTTCACGCCGTCCACTTCTCGCAGAAGTGGTTCGTCATGTCTACAGTTCTTGGACACTCGGAAATATAGAACACGGCCCAACAACAAACAGGAAACAACACATTGCACAGTAACACTCTGTACAAAACAAGCAACACGCGGACTGGCATATTTACACACCGGATCACAGCTTCTCCTAGCTGGAAGTCCGGCCACAAATCCTAGTACTGGGTCGGGGCTGCAATCGTCACACGAGGCGGCAACCAACTCTCCAGAAATCACCAAAAGCCGGC